CACTAGAACTGTTGAAAGTGAAACTATACAACTTGTGGGTGGGGTCTGGAGGGAAGAAACTGGGAGAGAGTGAGGGAAGGGGAGACATTGTCCAAGAAGAAATGTACTCATTACCTGACTTATGTAACTATAAAATAATGTAAAAACAATTAAATCTCACTCTTTGGCATTCAAAGAGTTACAAGGATTGATATTGTGGACCCAGATCCTGCTGTGTACTGGGGAAGGGCATTGTCCAAGGAACAAGAGAAGACAGAGGGGTTCACTACCCCACGTCAGGGCTGCAGGTGTAAGAGACAGGCAAGCAAGTGGAACATAGCTACCTGGTCCTCCTGTGTTGTGTACCACTCACCATGTACCTAGTAACTTAGGGTAAAAGCGGGAGGGACCAAATATCTGCTTATTTTTATGAACCTCACACCTCTCAGCACACAGTTTATCGATGGATAGGTTCTTACTGTCCCTTACATACAAACAGCTCCAGATTTTTCTCCAGGTCAAGTCATCTTGACCTGGAGGCCTGTTGGATCTGTGTTCTTAGTAAAGTATCAACTGCAGCTATTGCCCCTGCCCCCTGCCTCCGCCACATTCTCTTGGGTAGCCCTATGGGATTCCAGCTGCCTGGACAGGACCCACATCCTCTCATCCCTCCTGGAATACAAAGATGCCCTTGAACTCTCCTCCTCTTCCCTGGACAGTGGGACCCTTTCCTCTTAGCAGGTGTGGCTTTCATGTCCTTGGCCCAACCTCCCAGTGCTACGGAAAGATGTTTAAGTACCCAAGGTTGATTTTGTATGAAAATGCTGCATTCAAGACTTGCTCTTTCGATGGACAGAAAAAGAGCTTCTGACCTCATTTCCAGGGCACATAAACCTAGCCACTGGCCTGGTGGAGCCATTGGTCACATGCAGTTCTGGCTTTTGTTTTTTTTTTTGTCTTTTTTCCCCATAGATCCTCAGCCCCACTTCCTTCTACTTGGTTTTCCAAGCCAAGACCTCCCCTGGTTCAACTCCTTCAGGGCAGAGTCAGTGTTCTGAGAAGCTGGGATACAAAAGTCAGAGCAATGGGTGAGCTCCCCCTTTTACATGGCTTCCAAGAACTCCTGCCATGGGCTCCCCATTTCATGTCCACCTGCCTTGGCATATGAGCATAGGGTGGCTCATTTTTTGAGGGGCAAAAGAACTTGCCTCCCTTCGATGCCCTACTTTTGCCTCACTGTGCCCCCTCACGGCTGGGAATATTGAAGATGGGGGGGTTGTTGCTCTTGAGGGATTTCTACAACTTGAGATACAGATATCCTTCCTTTGTCATCTTGTTTTTGTCATTGTCTCGAAAAAAATCCATCTTAAACCTGTCCACAATGCCACTGGGGAATAGCAGTCACTGAAAATTCAAAACAAATACAAAAAAGCAAATGTGGAAGCAGCTATCACGAATGGTCTCCAGCTCCATGGTCCCACAAATTCTCTGGCACCTCACCGTCTCCTTTTTTCTAGATCTTTCTAATGAGGGGACAAAGGTGCTACTGCTGCTGGTGGCCTAGGGCTTTCTGTGTACTGAAGGAGCTGTGGGAGGGTCTGTTTCCCCTTCTTCAAAAGGGTTAGCTGTTGGGGCTGGAAATGTGGCTCAGTGATAAGAGTGCTTGCCTTACATGCATGAGGCCCTGGGTTCGATTCCTCAGCACCACATAAACAGAAAAAGCTGGAAGTGGTGCTGTGGCTCAAGTAGTAGAGTACTAGCCTTGAGCTGAAGAACTCAGGGACAGTGCCCAGGCCCAGGGTTCAAGCCTCATGACCAACAACAACAAAAAAAAGAGGATTAGTTGAAGATGGCCCAGGGAAGCTACCTGTCCCTGTCAGGGGACAAATGAATAGAAATAGGGTCTCCTTTGGTCAGATTTATCTATCAATACTATCTTTCATGACTGCACCTGACATGACCTTGAGCTTCTCCCCAGAGCACTCACTGGCTCCCACCCTCTTTATATGGAAGAATTTATGGAGGAGACCCTTCAATTCTTTAATTCTCCCAAGAGGAGCTATAACAGCCTGCATTTCCTCTGGTAACTGAGACACAGATAACCAAGCAGTTAGCATCTGCTCCATGCAACCCTGCACCAGGTGCACCTTTTTAAGTACACTATGCATGACTGTTATTAGTGATTTTCTTTTAGGTGAGAAATTAATGTTTAGGGACTTCACAGGCAAGGAGTAGAAAGTCCAGGATTTCCAGGCAGGCAGGCCAGAGTCCAGAGCTCATGCTCCTTAGTAACATCAGGTTTCCCATCCCCCTTTTGGGCACAGTATCTCCTTGTAAAAGATAAGCCCACTGAATGCACATTCAATGAGGCAGGTGGTGAGGCTGGAGCCCTGCACCCCTGCACAGGCGATGTGAGGGTGTGTGCTGTGTGCAGAGAGACAAACTATGCTTATGTCTGACCCCTCTTCCAGCGGGGAATTTTCATGCGGAAGGGCAGGCTCACAGGATAGCCAGCTAGGAAGAAAGGGGTTCTATCTTGCCTGTTTTAATGGGGATGATTCTATCCTGAGACTTGTTTCTCTTCTTCTCTCAGCTACTTCCCTCACTCCCATCCCACATGGGAAGATCTGGAAATAGGAAGGACCAGTACAAAGTTCAAGGGCCTTGGGAGAATAAAAAACAAAAAACCAACAAACCAAAAGGCAACCCAAATTTCCTTTTCAACAGGCAAAGCGAAGTGTCATTCCAAGAATGGCAGGGAGACTGTGCTTTTGTGCTTGGGCCTGAGATGTTTCCAATCATGCTATCTACTTGAGTTTTCTGGCAAAGAAAGTTACCAGACTCAAAGGAAAAACACTCTATTCTCCCAGACGAGAGAATGCTGTCATACTCTAAATTTGGCTGGAAAAGAGAGATTCAAAAATGATTTCACTCAGAAGGAAAAAAAAGAAAAAGCTTAAAAAGAGAAAGTGTCTGAATATTGAGAAGCTGCCCTGCAAAAAGGCTGCAGAAATATAGCCAAGGACAGTCACAAAGCCTGTAACATCTGTATTAAACGAGTCAGCTCTTCACATGCTGCGAGAAACAGCCTAGACAAAATCAACCGTTTCCTTTTTCCATCAGCTTTATTAGACATCCAGAATACATTATATAAATCTTTCAAAATAATGAGACAGTATAAGAATAGTTTACAAGTCAGCTTTGATCGCACAAATACTGGACACGGGAAACGATTTTTACAAATATGTTTCTTACAAGAATAGATTTTTTTTAAATAAAACTTTTTTATTTTTTTTTAATTTTATTTTATTGTAAAGATGCTATACAGAGGGGTTACAGTTACACGAGTAAGGCGATGACTACATTTCTTGTCGAGCATTGTTAACCTTTCCCTTGTTGTTCTCCCATTATCCCTTCCCTCCCCCAAGAATAGGTTTTTTGGTTTTTGGTTTTTTGTTTTTGGCCAGTCCTGAACTCAGGGTGTGGGCACTGTCCCTGAGCTTCTGTTGCTCAAGGCTAGCATTCTACCACTTGAGCCACAGCACCACTTCCAGCTTTTTCTGTTTATGTGGTACTGAGGAATCAAACCCAGGGCTTCATGCATGCAAGGCACTCTACCACTAAACCACGTTCCCAGCCCACAAGAATAGTTTAATAAAGAAAATAAGTCTCTATACATCTTACAGCAAATTCTTTTCCCCTTTCAAGCTCCACTTTGGTAATTTGCTATCACAGCACATCTATCATGGCCAGCAAACTAAATTACATCTATCATAGCCAGCAAACTAAATTACAATGCGTGGCTTCTTCTCACTTTCAAATACTACCAAGATTCACTCTTTGAGGGGTTTTAATTAGGGGTTTTCTAGTCTTTCTTGGAATGAAAGAATGCATGTAATTCAGAGGTAATTCAAACAACTTTCCTTGAAAATAGAACTTGGATCAAGTTAAGTCTCCATGTGTGGTAGATGAGCTTTTTACTCATCATTTAGGTTGGGCCAGCTGCTAGTTCAAACCTGTTGTGTTGCTGGGTGCCAATGGCTCATGTCTGTAATCCTAGCTACTTAGAAAGCTGAGATCTGAGGATCTCGGTTCAAAGCCAGCCCGGTCAGGAAACTCCGTGAGACTCATCTCCAATAAACCACCAGAAAACCAAAAGTAACGCTATGGCTCAAGTGGTAGAGCACTAGCCTTGAGCTGAAGAACTGAGGGGCAGCACCCAGGCCCAGAGTTCAAGCTCCACAGCCAACCAAACACACACACACACATACACACACACACACACACACAAAAAAACCTGTTGTGCCAAGTCCTTACAGTACTAATAGTTCTTAAATTCCAAAAAGGAAACTCGAAACAAAAGCAAAATACAAATATTAACAAAGCTAGAATATTTGCTACAGACGAGAGCATTTTTAAATTCAAAGTCTCCTAGGCTGAAGACAACAGAAGGTAAGTAGTTGTATAAAATACTGAAAATCTGAAGGAGATTAATCACTTGAGCCAGCAAATATTTTCAAAATGCCAGAAGATACAGAATCTTAGTGTAGCCAGATGAACTCAATATTTAACATTCTTTTTTTAGGCTGTGACTTTGATACAGCCTAAACAGAGCAACTTGTCTAGAGCAACTACCTACCATGCAGCCAAGATATTGTCATAAAACACTGACCACATTTACCTAAGGAGGCATGACCTGCCAGGGGAAACATCTGGCGTTCACTCTGTCCTTCGATTGTTACTGAAAAGGCTGTCCATTTGGCAAAACTTAATTAGTGTCTTACTTTTTAGGTAGCATGAACTGAAATCAAGAAACAAGTGGTATTCTACAGTCAAATTCCTGAGCTTGTCTCCAAATATCCAACACTCTTTAAAAAGAATTCTTTCATCAAGCCCTTGTCCAATATGACTTTTGACAGCACTTAGGGACTACAGCATGTCCCGAATTTCTCCTCTTTTACTTCTCGTTTTCTCCTTTTCACCCCAGTGTAACAGATCATTACCTGATTTTACCAAAATTTTGTAGCAGTAGTTGGAAATGCTTTCTTTTGCATTATCAGAAGTGTTCAATCACATTATCATGGGTCACATTTGCATCTAACTAGGAGATGGCCAAATAACACCTACTGCAGAGATTTTGCAAATTCAGCATAGTCAATGTAGCCATCATTATTTTTGTCATCGTCTCTCAAAACACCATCTATTATGTTGATTAGTTCATCTTCGCTCATTGGTGGTGCCTGCTCACTCCCCTCCTACAAATAAATTAGACAATGATGAGTTGCACATGACTGGAAGAAGTAGCTAATATCCAAAATATCCATGCTTATACATGTCAAAAAACTTTTTAAGCCAGGTGCTGGTGGCTCCCACCTATAATCCTAGCTACTCTGGAAGCTGAGGATCACAGTTCAAAGCCATCCCAGGCAGGAAAGTCTGTTAGACTCTTATCTCTAATTAGCCACCAGAAAAACCAGAAGTAGTACTGTGGCTCAAGTGGCAGAGCACTAGCCTTGAGCTGAAGACAACTTGGGACAGCACCCAAGCCCATAGTTCAAGCCCCATAACTGATATAAAATAAATAAATAAAAATAAAACCACACTTTTTAACATAACACATGGCTACTTCTAAGAATCAACAAATTAGATATATAAATTAGATACAGAATAATTTATAATAATCCAATATAGAAATTATACTTCCCAGCTAAAAGATGCAATCAAAGCAGGCCCTTGTTTGTTTGTGTAAAAAATACTATTTGAGTCAGGCACTGGGGCTTGTACCTGTAATCATAGCTACTCCAGAGAATGAGATCTGAGGATTGCAATTCCGGGCAGGAAAGTCTGCTGGAAATAGAGCTGTGGTAGAGCATTAGCCTTGAGCAAAAGAAGCTAGGGACAATGCCCAGGCCCTGAGTTCAAGACCCAGAACCAGCAAAAATAAAACAAAACTATTTGTAGCCAGGCATCAGAGGCTCATGGTTGTAATCCTTGCTACTCTCGGGAGGCTGAAATCTAAGGATCTTGGTTCAAAGCAAAGGCAGGAAAGTCTGTGAGACTCTTATCTCCAATTAACCACCAATAAGTAGGAAGTGAAGCTATGGCTCGTGTGATAGATTGCTAGCCTTGAACAAAAAAATGCTTAGGGACAGTGCCCAAACCTAGTACCATGACCAGCACTACAAAAATGATAGACAGACAGACAGAAAGACAGACAATTTGTTCATTTCAAGTTGTAAAAATATTTTATGTTCATTATAGACTTACACTGAACTGAGGTTCAGATTCCATGAGCAATACACCACCCATGCTAGAGAGAAGCCCACCACCCAACGCCCCCCCAAGCTCAGCTTAATGCACTGTTTGTCTCGTAGAGTGAAAACAGTGAAATATTGGTGACATCTTGAGAGCCAAACAAGAGGAAATAGGCATTGCCAAACAGCAGAACCTGTTACGATCTCTGAAACTATTTTCCTGCTTCAGAAGCAGGTATAGCAAAGCTCACTACAACAGCTTAGCCATTCACCCTCTTGGCTGGTTCTTCCTTCACCACCTCCCCCATATTCCCTGTTTCTTCTCTATGCCATCACCATCCTCACCAGCCAGGATTGCTGGACCCCAACTCCTCTCTCTCCTGTCCATCAGTCTGCCTCCCACAGCACAGGATCCGCCCACAAAAATGTCCTTCTCCCAGGCAAAACTGATGGCACCCTCACAGCAAACTTCAACCTGCACTCCTGGCAGCCAATGTGATCACACCTTTATCACCAGAGATGGCATTAAATCTGGAGGAATAAGGTTAAGGATTTTAGTTTTTTCATCATGAATACAGAAGCAATAAAGGTGCTTGCCCCTAAGAGCTAGCAAGATCTCTAACTGACTTGTATGACACAAACCAAAACTATTGCCAAGGTCCTCTCGTTTGCTGTTCTTCTCAAATAAAATAGCTTCTATTTCCCCTGCTCTGCATTGAAAAGGGAACATGTCTTTCCAGGTCTTGGCTCTCAGATTCTGGTGTATGGCAGAAATACTAAAGCACTGAAAATACATGTGCCTGGCCCTGGGGCTTTGGCTCGGCAGCTCACCCTGAGGGAAAGGAGAGTGAACAAGAAGCAGCATGACAAAGTAGTGAGCAGAGAGCAGAAAGCAGCACAACTGAGACACAAAATAAGAACATGTCATCAAGACAGGAACAAACCACCAAAGGTTTTCCCAGATCTGCCCAACAAGCCACTACCTGACCTACCTCCTTATGAACATGCGTGATAGCTGTGGAGAGCTCTAAGCCGTCAAGCAAATTATTGCCATCATAATCGTGCATTTTAAAATAATGAAGCTGCAGTTCTTGTGGGGACATCTCCGCCTCTGGTTTGTTGATGACACCTTCTAGATGCTCCATGATATGCCTAAAAACCAACAGCCAGATTATGCCAAAACCGTAAGGATGCTAAAAGTTCCAAGATCAATTTCATCCAACTTAGAGAACCCTGGCAAACCACACTCAAGGGTGACACGTATAAACAGAGCCATGAAAGAGAGGGACCAATGCTAACCAATTCATTTGTTTCACTGGCAGGTTAGGGTGTTTGTTCATTTGCTTTCCTCTTCATTATTAGAATTTTACTGTATTGCTGTTAGGCCAGCAATTGTAAAAGATTGAAAAAAAAAAAAAAAAAACAATTTCAGGAAAACAAAGTTCATGTAGGAGATTTACCGGCTAAAGACAGAAACTATGACTGTGTTAGTGCTTGAATCTAACACTTAAAATGTAGCACTGTGGCTCAAAGCAGTAGAGCACTAGCCCTGAGTGAAAAAAGTTCAGGCTTTGAGTTCCAGCCCCAAACCAACAACAAAAACAAAAAGGTCTTGTCAATACCTTGTCAAGAAACCTTTCATTATAATCTGGATTAAGGACACTTCTACTATATCTGTGAGTATGCCTAACTATACATGTGTCTATCTGGTGGGGTGAAAGACAAAGACTGAATTCAGACAAGTAATTTATCCTATCAGAACCTCAGGATCCTCCACTTGTGATACAAGAAGGAAGAATACCTTACTACGAGGCTCTTAGGAGTGCATGTCATCGTGAAACATGTCCAAGGGCCACATAAACAGGAGTAATGGAGAGGACTGAGTATGCCCTCATTTCTGCTGCAGCTGAAGGTGATGGCAGATTCCCAGACCCCTGTCCCCGCTGAATACGTACTCTTGGTCATGCACTGTGTTCTTATCCAGGCCCACGCTGCCAGGATGGGGGATACCAACCCCAGGCTCCTGAGCCCTGGTACATGGCCCACAAAAGGCCCAGAGCAGGCCACACAGGAAAGGGACTCTGAGCAGCTGCAGCGATCTCATGGTCACCGGTACCTGGGAGTTGGGGAACAAAGCAGAGGTCTAGAGCTTAGATTTCTTCCAAGACTTGACAAAGTACCCTTCTGATCACCCAGGCAGGCAGTAAAGCTGGGGGGTGACACATATCAAACTGGGCCCACATCTAGGTCTGCACAAAACTATGGGATAATTGGGTCACCCAGGTCCCTATCATTTGAATGGGGAGGGAAGATTTCTACTCTGTTGGAGAAGGACTGAAAGTAAAGAGTGAGGTGGATTCAAGAAAGCACTCTGGGGAGTTCAGGGAAATGTCCCTGAACCAGAGACGGCTGACAGATATGGTGATGTTCCGCTAAGACTGGAAAGATGTGCAAGGGTAGGGAAACTGAGGGAACGGTAACAGCAAGTGGGAAATGTACATGGTTTCATGTCTCTCTGTTGTAGCTGAGAACAGTAGGAGGATGCAAAGGTGGACATGTCACACTGGACACTCGAAGGAGCTACCATTTCCTGAGAAGAAGGAGGCACAATTAATGATGTATGACTGGGAGATGAGATCAGAGCTTGGCTCTCCACTGACTCCTTTGGCAGCTCTGTGGAGAAGGAGAGAAGTGTAGCAGATCAAAAAAGGCACTCTGAGGGACTGGAGAAGCAGTATGACAGACCAACCTCTGCAGCAGTAAACCCTAGAAGAAGACATCAACTCCTTCCTCATCTATCTTCTGGGGCTGGGAAGGCAGAAAGTTTACCATGGGGAAACAGCATTGGGAAGGAAAGTCACTGAGCAATTAGGATACTATCAAGTCCTCCTAGGGTGTCACAAGACTCGGAATAATGATCCACAGGGCAAGCCCCTTGAGGGCAGTGAGTACTTTATTCCACAGCATTTCTCTGGCATTCCTCCTTCAAGAAGTGTTGGTTTAACTGGAAGACTTGGTCCTTCCTGGGGTTTAGACTGTCCAGAAAGAGGAAGGGGAAGGACAGCAGGAGACTCAAATATAGAAATTAAGTAGACATCTGATCTAACATTCACTTCCCAGAATCTGTTGGGTAACAAGGGCCAGCAATTCCTGGGGGGCTCAACAGCAACTGGACCCAAACCCATGAACAGTACAGGTAAGTATAAGGAACTGGCCTACTCTTTTTTTTGTCGGCCATGGGGCCTGAACTCTGGGCCTGGGTGCTGTCCCTCAGCTCTTCAGCTCAGGCTAGCGCTCTACCACTTGAGCCACAGCTCCACTTCTGGCTTTTTCTGCTTATGTGGTGCTGAGGAATCAAACCCAGGGTGTCATGCATGCAGGGCAAGCACTCTACCACTGAGCCACCTTCCCAGCCCTAGCCCCACTCTTAAGAGTGCTACGCTAGGCTACCCTCGGCTACACTCAGAGCAGATCTCAGAAGCTATCCCTAGGGCTAAAAGCAGAGGTGTTGTAGCTCCATATCTATCCTAAAAGGACCCTGAAGGCGTGCTCCAGTGGCTCAAGCCTATAATTCTAGCTACTTAGGAGGCTGCGACTAGCAGTTCTGAGATTCTTATCCCCAATTAATTAAGCAGCAAAGAGCCAGAAGTGAAGGTATGGTTCAAGTGGTAGAGCATCAACCAGCCTGGAAAAAGCTGAAAAAGTCAAGTGATAGCATGAGGTCCTGAGTTCAAGCCTTTGTTGTTGTTGTTATTAACAAAAATAAAAGGACTCTGAGAGTAAAATTTCCCAAACCCATTTTGCTCATTCTCCTATGGATCTCCCCCTAAAAAGAAAAGCCACTCGGATGCATTATTCTTGGGGTGCTAGAAAACAGAATCTAGCATTACCACCGAGCAGCAACATCATAGTGCAATCTGCATAATGCAAGACTGCATAGGAAAAGATGCTCAATATAGATTAAATGAGAAAGAGCAAACTACAAAAATCTGTAATAAGAATTCACTTTTGTAAAAATAAAAATAGTTTGGGCTGGGAAAGTGGCTCAGTAGTAAAGCGCTTGCCTTGCACACATGAGGCCCTGGGTTCGATTCCTCAGCACCACATAAGCAGGGGGAAAAAAAGCCGGAAGTGGCGCTGTGGCTCAAGTGGTAGAGCACTAGCCTTGAGCTGAAGAGCTGAGGGACAGCGCCCAGGCCCAGAATTCAGGCCCCACGACTGGACCCCCCCCCCCCAAAAAAAAAGGTATATATGTCTCACACACATATGATTAAAAACTGTTACTAATGTCTGCTGAATCATGAGACTAGGAGTGGTTGTGATCTTCTTTTTTTTTGTTTTTGCCAGTCCTGGGGCTTGAACACAGGGTCTGGGCTTCTGAGCCTCTTTTGCTCAAGGCTAGTACTCTTTCACTTGAGCTATAGTGCCATTTCCAGCGCTTCCTGTTTATGTGGTACTGAGGAATCAAACCCAGGGCTTCATGCATGCTAGACAAGCACTCTATAACTAAGCCACATTCCCAGCCTCAGTTTTACTTTTTTATTGGTTTGAAATACCTATCAAGACCATTTTTATTTATAAATCTGTATTTAAGGCCAGGCACCAGTGGCTTACGTCTATAATCCTAGCTACTCAGGAGATCTGAGGATTGTGGTTCAAAGCCAGCCCATGCAGGAAAGTCAGTGAGGCTCTAATCTCCAATTAATTACAAAAGAAAAAAAAAAGCAGAGTTGTGCCTCAAGTGGTAAAGTTGAAAAGAAAAAAAGGCTTCAGGGACAGTTCCCAGGCCCTAAGTTCAAGCCCAGGACTAGCAATAATAATAATAACTATTATTATTATTATTATTATGTATTTAAAGTAATTACTCCCATAATTCTGTTCTAACACTACATGGATAAGAAAGTGTCCAGTTAATTCTCATCTCTAGAAAATAATCCAGGAGCAGCAAACCATACTTCCAGTTTTTCCACATAAAAGTATCCAGACCCGGACAAGGCTGCGGCCACTGTAGCTACTACCATAAAACAAACTCTCAAGTTACTCTAGCAGTGAATTCATTAGGTAGTGATTGAGTAGAACAACTTGTTCTGAGCCCACATCTTGGAGTTCTAGGACAGGAGAAACCAGAGAAGAGGTCTGGCTCCTCCACAGCCTTTCAGACTCATTTATGGCCATTGTCTCTTTCTTTGCTAAGCCCTCTTTTAGTTTTGTTTTGAGGCAGCCACTAAGTAGGGTCAAGGTAGCCTCTTACCCAAGCCTTTCAAGTGTTTGAATTTACAAGCATGCATCGCCACACCTGACTTCTAGTAGGCCTGCCTAAGTCTAACTTAGGTGTTCTTGCCATTTGGTCACTTTAGAAGGCTCTTGTCAGCTGGATGCAGTAGCTAAAGCCTGTAATCCTAACTACTTTGGAGGCAGAGAATGGGGGATTGGGTTTTGAGGCCAATCCTGGCATAAAAGATTGTGAAACTCCATCTTAACCAATGGCTAGGTGCATATGGTACATAGCTGTCATTCCAAACCATGCAGGCACATAGGAAGAATCACAGCTCAGACCAGCCCAGGCAAGACCTCATCTAGAAAAAACAACAACAGGGGCTGGGAAGGTGGCTCAGTGGTAGAGTGCTTGCCTTGCATGCATGAGGCCCTGGGTTCGATTCCTCAGCACCACATAAGCAAAAAGAAAAAAGCCGGAAGTGGCACTGTGGCTCAAGTGGTAGAGCGCTAGCCTTGAGCTGAAGAGCTGAGGGACAGCGCCCAGGCCCAGAGTTCAGGCCCCACGACGGGACCCCCCCCCAAAAAAAATTTAAAAACAACAACAACAACAACAAAAGGATGTTTGGAGGCATGGCTTGAATAGTAGAGCACCTGCCTAGCAAGGGTTGAGTTCTGTGATAAATCCCCAGTACTGGAAGGGGGGGGGGGGGGGGGGTTAGGGAGGAGGGGAGGAAGGCTTCTGTTCACAGTGGATGATTGCTGTGAACAAATTCTTGAAAACAGCCTGATTACATATTGGTGTTTCTTGTTAGACTGGCTATAAGAAGACATTCCCAGAAAAAGGTATAGTGCTTAGAACAGAGACTGTGCTTCTCAGCGGGTTGGTCATGGTCATTAGAGGGCTGAAGGATTACCACAGATATGTTGTGAAGTATCCATGTCAATGTAACTAAGAATAGGACTTTGGCCTGTCTATCAGACAAACAGCTGAGCTGGTTGATCAATGATCCCATGGTACCTTTTACTCTAACCCCAGACTGGATACATGGGGGGGGGGGGGGGCAGGGGGGAGCTGAGTTCTGTCCAGATAACACCAAAAAACAACCAAAGAACTACCAATATAAGAAGTGTAGGGTTAGGTCTGCCTGGGAGAACAGCCCTCCCCCCTACCTCTTCACCTGCCCAAAACCAGCAATCACCTGACTGAGGCCACAAAGGACCCCAGACTCTGAGGTCACTTCCTCATCAGAAAAGGTCATTTGTAAGCCACCCAGGTCACACCTCCTTCCAACAGTGAGAAGTTCCCCAGGCTCTGAGATCACTTCCACATCTGCTGTGGCCCGCCTCCTGCCTTTCCCTATATAATCTAGCTCAACAGGAGTCCCCTGCTCTTTCTCTTTTTCCTTCCCCTCTGTCTCCTGTGGGTCGTCAGTGCTCTCCCCGGCCAATAAACTCTTTCTGCCTGAACCATGTGGCTTTTTCCTTTCCGGCAAAACTTACATGTAGGACGCTGGTGGCTCACGCCTGTAATACTAGCTACACAAGAAGCTGAGATCTGAGGATTGCAGTTTGAAGTCAACCTTGGCAGGCAAGTTTGTAAAACTTTTTTTTCCCCCCGATCCTGGGTCTTGAACTCTGGGTCTGGGCACCATCCCTGAGCTTATTTTGCTCAAAGCTAGAGCTCTACCACTTGAGCCACAGTGCCACTTCCAGCTTTTTTGAGTAGTTTATTGGAGATCAGAGTCTCATGGACTTTCCTGCCTGGGCTGGTTTCGAATTGTGATCCTCAGATCTCAGCCTCCTGAGTAGCTACGAATATAGGCATGACCCACTGCGCCTGTGAGACTCTTATCTCCAATTAACCACCCTAAAAAAGCCAGAAATAGAGCTGTGCATCAAGTGGTAGAGAATCATCCTTGAGAGGGGAAAAAAAACAAACAGGAAACACTGGGAGACAGCAAGGGAAAGGGTGGTATGTCCAAAAAGAAGTGTACTCTTTACCTGACTTATGTAACTGTAACCCCTCTGCATATCATCTTTATAATAACAATTAAAAATTTAAAAAGAAAAACCTGAGGGACAGAGTCCAAGGCCCAGGCATGCGCACACATGTAGATCTAAAGTATCCCTTCTTTAGGAGACTGCATAAAAGCCAAGGACCACAGGCTGGGAAGGTGGCTCAGTGGTAGAGCACTTGCCTTGCATGCATGAGGTCCTGGGTTCAATTCCTCAGCACCACATAAGCAGAAAAGGCCAGAAGTGGCATCGTGGCTCAAGCGGTAGAGCGCTAGCCTTGAGCTGAAGAGCTGAGGGACAGCGCCCAGGCCCAGAGTTCAGGCAACACGACCGACACACACACACACACACATACACAATGCCACAATGCCAAGGACCACCACTGTTTGAACTTGTCTTTACTTTGGTATGTTGTTGCAGGTTTCTAACCACTGAAACACAACAAGAGCCAAATCTAAACCTATAAAAGAAGTCCCCAAGTACTGTAGAGCAATAAGGAATCTGACTGCCACCTAACAAATTGGACTGTTCACAGTCAAAAGGAAACAAACGACTCCATTCTGTCCAAAGAACAAGTTACATCATCCACATCAACTACTTGGTTCAAGGCCATGGGCACACAGCCTGCAAGATAAATCCCAGTACTTCTAAATTCCTGGCCTTGAAGAAATTATAAAGGCCAGCTGAAGAATAATCCACAAGAAGAGAGACTTCTGCCAAGAGATTTCAGAACCCAAACTATGCCTTGACATCTATCCCAAGGAACCATCTCAGTCCTGGGAGGGAGGTATGGACCACTGTCAGCAGTCTGCCACTGTCTGTGGGCCTCCTGAAGTGCCCCACACTACTCCAGCAGCTTCTTCCTGTTCTATAGCCTTTGCTGAAATTGGTACCATCTGTCTATTTCTTCTAGGCCCATTTCAAATGGCACCTAGTCAATGCTACATATTCCTTTCTCTGACCTCAATCTGTAGCTTCTCATGCTCATTTAACCTTAACATATGGTCACATAATGTTCTTTCCTGCTTTTCTTTCCCCCTTCTCTGAGGGCCAACACCCTGTGTTAGGGTAATAGGGTCTACAGCAATGGGTCTTAGAACCTAGATCTGTTTTTCTTATCACATCTAATACCATCAAGGCTGGCATTTCCCTTTGGAGCCCTCTCACCCTCTGCTTTGGCCTGGGCCGCCCTTCCCTCTCATTGAGTCATTACTCTTATCAGTACAGGAGAGTTAGAGTCAGCCTTCCCCCTAGCAGCTGCTGGCAACTTTTCTCTCAGGCCAGGGGCCCTTAGTTAAGAATTTACACTCCAATCAGCCACGTTCACCAACATCCTGCAAGATATATCACAGGAGCTTCAGACATCCTGTACCTACAGCCAATGTCAAAGAAAACTCTGAACTGTTCTTTCCCCATTTACCACTGCCATAGTCTTGGACTAAAGGAAAAAAAAAATGTTCTTAGACCAGGGAAACCTCTATATGGGCTGAGGGTTGAAAATTGATTCTGAAAAGGCCAGCATTTGTTTGATCTGTTTGTGCATTTGAGAAGCCCAAAAGTGCAGTGATACTTCACTTACATTCAATTTAATAACATACTAACAGCCTGTATCACCCAAAGTGCAGGATCACAGAGGTACTAAGGGTAGGATTGTGATCCAGGTAAACTCTTCTCACACAGATGCTACAGCTTGGTGGAAAGGGAAGACCACTAATAAGACACCCCCAGGTAGCAGATAAGCCCCAATTCATACCTGTAATAAACCATGAAACACATTTCTACCAAAGGATAGTGCTTCAGGCAGAGAAAATAAATCCCCACGTCCAGAAGGGACTCAGATTCATCTAGGAATAAAAAGATTCGATACAGCTGAAGATGGATGTGTCTTGTATAAAGTACAGAGGAGAGATCACAAAGGGTCTTGCAAGTTCTGTGCCAGAGCTTGAAAGAGCAACAGGAATTCACAGAAGGGGAAGGGAATGGGGGAAGAGACAAGGGACATGTGAAACTTCTGTTTTTAAGACCATGGCTCTAGCTCTCCTAGAACAAACTGGGGAGGATCTAGAAGGATGCAAAAGGGGCATCCAGGGCAGGAGGCCAATGAAGTAATCCAGATGAGCAGCGACGGAGCCTGAACCAGCGAGGGCGGGAGAGGTGGACTGGAAAAGCGACATCGTTTTGGATGGATTCAAGGTGGGCAGGTAAAAGGGTGAAGGTGAGAACGACGCCCAGGTGTCTGTCTGGGCAGCTGCGTGGACGGTGGTGCCATACTCAGGGAGGGGAAATCGGCTTCCCTCCTTGCCACTCAGACCCGGCTCAGCCTAGCCATCCGGCCGCGGGCTCCGACAGTACCTGAGTACCCCCTCCCACCGCCCCCCCAAAGGCAAATGAGGAAACCGAGGCACACGGAGAGCAACGCCTCAGGTCCACAAGCTTTTAGATCGAATACGGCCAGTCCTCAAGCCCGCAGAGCTTCTCCAAAGCCAGGACCTAGGGTCCCAGGAGCCGCCGGCCAAGGGGATGAGATCCACCCGCCCGGTCCAGTCTGGCTCCCCAGCCCCAGGGCGGGAACACAGGCTTCCATCCCAGGGGACAGGCCCGGCCCCCAGCCGCTCAGCTTCCCGTGACCGCCCGGGGGCCAAGTCCTCCGACCGGCCACTCCAGCCCCTGAACGGAGCCCCTGGTGCCGGGGTCCGGCCCTGCGAAGCACGACTGAGTCGCGGCTCGTGAGTTCACTTACCCTCACGGTCCCAGCCTCACACGCGAAGTCCTTTGGCTTGAGCCTAACCAGCCCCCGTCCTCAGGACGCTCTCTCTTGGCCCGCCCACTCTGTCGGACCAGCCGCGCAGGCCCACTGCCTTCCTCCCGCCCCTTGGCGCCGCTGGCCCCGCCCCTTGGCGCCGCTGGCCCCGCCCCTAGGCCCTGAAGTCCACGTGGAACACCCTGCATACGCGGGTCTACCCGCCTCCCGAGGGCGACTCCCCGCCCCAGCTAGCGTGGAGCCATTGCCACCTCCGAATCCTCAAGAGCCTAGTTTGGTGTCAGTCGTATGCTAGCAGATAGGATGGGATGGGATGGGATGGGATGGGCTAGGCTAGGCTAGGCTGAATAGGTTGGATAGGATAGGTTGGATAGGATAGGTTGGATAAGATAGGATAGGGTGGACAGTGGAAGTTGGCTGCCCACTCTTCCTCCACTCAGCTTTGCGGGTCTCTTGGTTTGTGACTATGCGTTGCGAAGAAAGGGTTAGGAACCCTAACTCTTCTCTGAAGACACTGGTGGCAGCCTTGGATCCTGTGTTTTCCAGATTGGCCTACTCCCAAGCTTCTGCTTGCTCCTTTCCACAAGCATCAGCCTCCATACCCGTTCGCTAAGCCCCAACCAGATATTATTGGGCGACCTATAGTGCCACTTGTCCTGTGCAGTGTGTGAAATTGTTGTTTTAGTCATTTGAGAGTAGACCAAGTACTTCCAAAACCAAACAGACATACCTGTGCAATCCTCTTATGACTTTGCTCTGTAAGAATGTGTTTCAGGGTTGGTAGCATGGCTTAGGTAGTAGAGAGCCTATTTAACAGAGTTCCCCTAGTACTTTATAAAACAAAAGGAGGGGCATATGTAGTTGGGTGCCTATAATCCTAGTTATTTAGGAGGCTATCTAGAGCATAGGGGTTGGAGGCCAGCCTGGGCAGCAAAGTTTGCAAGACTTTATCTCCACAATAACTTGCACAAAGCAGAGCACAAAGGTACATGCCTAAGCCACAAACTACCTACTTTAGGCTTTTGATACTACTGGTTCATAGACAGGAGCCACCAAGTCCAGCTTGCCTCTGTGGAGACAGACTCATAGACTTCTCAGTCTCAGGATGATAGATATGCACCTCTGTACTCAGCTGTAGGTTGAAAAGAGATGCCATGAACTTTTCTGCCCTGGCTGGCCTCAAAATTCAATCCTCCCATTTGTATCCTCCCAAGTTGCTGGGATTACAAACACAAGCCACCAATACCCAAATACAGAGCAAAAATACTTTTAAAAGAGAGACAAGAATTGAAAAGCAGATAGAACAAAGCTACATTTTATGGCCTCTAGCTGCTATCACCAAAGAAGCCAGACAATTAAAACTGGTTTCAGAGTGTGGTGAAACTTAACAGGGACCAGCAAAGGTGTGCTAAAAAATAAGGTAGGAGCTTCTGGGTGCTGGTGGCTCTCGCCTGTAATCCTAGCTACTCAGGAGGCGGAGATCTGAAAAACTGAGTTCAAAGCCAGCTAAGGCAAGGAAAGTTGGTGAGATTCTTATCTCCAATTCACCACCAGAAAACTAGAAGTGCTGTTGTGGCTCAAATGGTAGAATGTTCACTTTGAGCTGAAGAGCTCAGGGACAGAGCCCAGGCCCAGAGTTCAAGCAACTCTGACAATAAATAAATAAATAAAAGCATTTGTGAGCTGGGGTAACTTCTCTCCCTCAGGTTGTTAATAGCCAGACAGAGAACAAGGAGATATTATGGGCTGTGCTCTAAAGAGGAACCATTACAAGAGAACATAAAAGCCACTGAAGAAAATCAGGAGTCACCCGAAACCCCAAGAAACAGAATAGATGAGGGCGGAAAATGTGTTGGTGTCTCAGTCATGAAGTGAATAGTTGAGGATTAAAAAAAAAAAAAAAAACCAAAACATAAAAACACTACTCACCTCTCTCACCTCCCAGGCCTGGTAAAACATAAGACACTCTGAGATTCTAAAATTAACATTATAATTACTGAGTGTCTGCACTGTATAAATAAGAGTCAAGATTCTGAAATTTGCCTTGTGTAGGACTTTAGCTCTCAATCTAATGATTACATGTAGTTTTCCTGGCAGATTTCAAAAGGAAAGACTGATCAGCCAGATCTGGCAGAGTTTTAATGTCAACATTCTAAGAAGGTTCATTCTGTACTACTAGTGAAGTAAGACATATGCTAGCATGAGCCAGAAAATTCTATGAGCCAATAATCATGGTAATAAGTAAAAGTTGATTTCTGAGCATAAGGATCAAGTGACTAGGGAAGACTGGAAAGACAGTTTATCATCTTGGGATGCTTCACATAAGTGATCTGAGTAGATGAGGCCACTGCTAAAGGTGTGGCAAATGTTAAACTCATGTTCAAATTTAGAATTTTTAGGGCAACAGCAAGATGAAGTATCATGAAAAGCAGAGCTCTGCTTGGCAATCTAGTATGTGATGGAAACAGGCCTCTGGGTGACTCTAAATGGCAAGTATGAAAGAAAAGGCCAAAAGAGAACATGAGAGGGCATCTCACCAGGCTTCTTGTTCTACTTCTGGGAGGCTTGGAGCATGTGAAGTCTCACTACTTACAGCCACTGTGACAACTAGTGTAAGAGTGATTTGAAGGAGGGCCCTCGGTGGCTCACGCTTGTAATCCTAGATACTCAAGAGGCTGAGACCTGAGGATTGTGGTTTGAAGGCAGTCCGAGCTGAAATTGAGCAACTTTATCTCTAATTAACCAGCAAGGAAGCCAAACTGGTGGCCCAGCTCAAGTGGCAGAGTGCCTATATATGAATAAAAAAGACAAGTGAGAACATGATTTCAAACTCCGATACTGGGACAACAACAACAATATAACAATAATAATAATTTGATGGGGAAGAGAAGGATGTTGTAGTAACATGAAAAATCTCTGCGTCAGCACACAAGAATGGAAACACTCCATGATACTCAAACAGCTCACTGTTAACATTGACATGGCTTTACTATTGTAGAAAACTTTTGCCTGAGATGATGAATGTTGTAAATAATTTCAGTGTTTTCTTGTAGAATTTTAAGGAAGAAACCATTTAAAGAAGTGTGCAGGTTTTTAGTGGACAGCATTGAACAACAGTTGACCCTTTAAAATCCTTAGAAACCCTCAAAGCCTTTACTTTGTCCTATCCAACACTCTTAAACTACCAGATAATTCTTGCTTAATCCTAATTAGGCATTGTCTCTGGAAGAGTTGCCTTAAAATAGATTCAACACTCCAGAAATATTCCTGGGTTGCCATTCCAATTTTAGATACTTTTATGATTCTCCCAAGGTAGTGTTTTCCCTTCTTATGAGAGCAGAAAACCCCACTTTAAATGATCACAAAGTTGTCTTGATATTTTTAGAGTGTCAACATTCAACTGTGGCAGCCCACTAAGATTCAATATAGACCTCTTGGCCATTGTAGATTAAGCTTTCTTCTGAGGCCTTGGGTCTCTCTCTCTCTCTCTCTTGCTCTCTCTCTCTCTTTCTCTGTCCCTCTCTCTGTCTCTCTCTCTGAAAGATTCAGAGATGTAGGCTTGCAATTGGTTACAAGTACCTTTTTTTTTTCTTTTTCTTCATTTTTTCCCTTCTTTTTCTTTTTTTTTTTTTCTTTTTTTCTTTTTTTGGTTCCGGTGGTGGGGCCTGAACTCTGGGCCTGGGCGCTGTCCCTCAGCTCTTCAGCTCAAGGCTAGCGCTCTACCACTTGAGCCACAGTGCCACTTCCGGCTTTTTTCTTTTTGCTTATGTGGTGCTGAGGAATCGAACCCAGGGCCTCATGCATGCAAGGCAATTGCTCTACCACTGAGCCACCTTCCCAGCCCCCTTTCTTTTTCTTTTTTACTCACTAGTGAGTAGCCTAGTCTAGCTTTACACTTATGATCCTTCTGCCTCAGCCTCCCAAGTACTGGGATTAAAGTGGGGCAGCACCCCACTCAGTTTTTCAATTTTTCTTTTTATTACACTCTTATTACTAAGTAGTTTGTATCCTAAAAATAAGAAAACTATTTTAGAAACCCTATAGTTACCTGGCCATATTTGAAAAATCTTTCCTTTTTGGAAGGCTAGTCTTATTTCTAACACTATTACTACTTGTCTATGTCCAGCCTTGTCATTTTTTGTTATGCATCTATAAAGGGAACACTTTCAGAAAAGAGAACAAGTATAGGTCCCCATGAGTCAATTTCTAACTTTTATCTTTGGTCAAATTTTATGAGACCTTTCCTCAGACTTTTGTGAGAGTATAGTTCAAACTGTGCTTCTGATAAGAATGACAAATTCATCAAGATGCTAGCTGGAAAAGGTCTAGGTGAGAAGCTGCCTCTCTCTCCCACTCCTTCAGCTATAGATACTATATCAAACAACAAAGGGTCTACTTTAAAAAAAAATTAAGACAGGTGTCAGTCAGGAGGCTGAGATCTGAAAATTGCAGCTTGAAGACAGCTAGGGCAGGAAAGTCTATGAGTCTTTTATCTCAATAAACTACTCAGAAGCTGGAAGTGGCAATGTGCCTCAGTGGTAGAGCACTAGCCTTGAGCAAAGAGGGGCTCAGGGTCAGGTGCTGGTAACATTTGCCTGTAATCCTAGCTACTCAGGAGGTTGAGATCTAAGGATCATGGTTCAAAGCCAGCCTGGGCAAGAAGATCCCTGTGACTCTTATCTCCAATTAACCACCAGAAAACAGGAAGTAGAGCTGTTCCTCAAGTGGTAGAGCATGCCTTGCGCTGAAGAGCTCAGGGACAGTGTCCAGGCCCAGTGTTCAAGCCCCACAACTGACAAAAAAAAAAAAAAAAAGAGGCTCAGGGACAGTGCCTAGGCCCAGAATTCAAGCCCAGGGACCGGCAAAGAAAGAAAGAAAGAAAAAGAAAAAAAAATAGCATGAGAAAGTATCCAAAATAAACCAGATTCTGAACTTCTTTAACAGAGTCTTTGGCCAAAGTAAAATAAAATGTGAGCAATTTCACACTATCTTTTAGAGCCTCTTTTATCATACTCAAACATACCATTTCTACTCTCTCATTCTATGTCTCCTCCTCTTCTTTCTGCTCCCTCTCTGTCTGGAGCACTACCTTTTCCTTCTGGACAGCCAGGTGCCCAGTGCTTCCTTGCCTTTTTTTTGGTTGGTCATGGGGCCTGAACTCTGGGCCTGGACACTGTCCCTCAGCAATTCAGCTCAAGGCTAGTGCTCTACCACTTAAGCCATAGTGCCACTTCTATTTTTTTCTGCTTATGTGGTGCTGAGGAATTGAACCCTGGGCCTCATGCATGCAAGGCAAGCGCTCTACCACTGAGCCACCTTCCCAGCCCCTCCTTGCCTTTTTAAGGCAAGCTTCCTGAACAGAAAAAACAAAGCTCCAAGGCAGGATTAAGCTCTAGTTGATATCAGGGTTTCGATGAAATAGAATACTGAGAAGGAATGTGGAATTGTTTTAGGGATCCTGAGAGGCCAAGTGTTCATCAGTCAATTCATATGTGAATAAGAGCTTCAGAGGTAAAAAATTCAACAAAAAACATCCCCCATCCCCTTCCCAAAGACTTAAGATCTTAACTTGTATATGAAACCAAAGGGGTTTAAAAAAAGCAATAGAGGGCTGGGAAGGTGGCTCAGTGGTAGAGCGCTTGCCTTGCATGCATGAGGCCCTGGGTTTGATTCCCCAGCACCACATAAGCAAAAAGGAAAAAAAAGCCAGAAGTGGCGCTGTGGCTCAAGTGGTAGAGCGCTAGCCTTGAGCTGAAGAGCTGAGGGACAGCAGCCAGGCCCAGAGTTCAGGCCCCATGATCGGACACCCCCCCCCAAAAATAAAATAAAATAAAATAAAAAAGTAATAGATGCTGCTCATAGTCTTTTTGAAAGCCATCCTCTACCTTCTTCAGATTATGCTCTGGTTCAGTTCTTGGTCAGGAGAAATTGAAAGCTTTCAGGGCCATCAGCCCTTTGGTACCTGGCAACCAAGCCCCTTAACTAGAGTGTTGAGTAGATCCTGAGGCAGATATATGCTGATTCGCTTCTCTTTTTATGAAAGATCTTATAGAGGATTTATTATACAAACAGAAACTGGAATGGGACAGAGCCCCTTGGTAAGGTGAGACCTCCTAAAACCTTACTATTTTGAAAAGCCCTAGAACCAAGAAACAAAAGTGGGAAAAGGCAAATCATCAATGAAGGTGTTCAATTTTCCATTTTACCCTTATATTCACAAGAAACCATTTCACTAGAAATTAAAGGACAACCTTATAAACTTGATATTGATATGGGTACAATAATAATATCAGCAAAATCATCTTTTTCTGGGCTGGGAAGGTGGCTCAGTGGTAGAGTGCTTGTCTTGCATGCATGAGGCCCTGGGTTCGATTCCTCAGCACCACATAAGCCAAAAGAAAAAAAGCCGGAAGTGGCGCTGTGGCTCAAGTGGTAGAGCGCTAGCCTTGAGCTGAAGAGCTGAGGGACAGCGCCCAGGCCCAGAGTTCAAGCCCCACAACCGGACCCAAAAAAAAAAAAATCATCTTTTTCTGCCTCCTTAAGTAGAAAACTCAGACACTATTTCTATTTTTGAAGTTTCAGTGTTTTACAATTGTAGATATATGCTGATGTCTGTCTTTGTATCAGAACAATCAATACTTCTGTCTTCTCCAAGGAAAATGAACATAGGATTGCTATGCCTTAGTTTATTGAGGTGCACTCCTACTTTTCAAAAGTGATCAGCCAGGAAACCAAGGGCCCTTAAGTGCTCTGTTAAGTCTATGCTTATCCGGTATGAGAGATGGCTTTTTCTTGTGTTCTAGATGGCTTTTTCTTGTGTCCTATAAAAGAGGTGAATTCTCAGGCTGGTTAGTTAAATCTGCTGGCTCTTTAGCTCAGAGAAGGACAAAGAGTTCCATGCAGAAGTTATCAATTATCAAAGGAAAGACAAAATTTATCTTATGGAGGAAAATCCTTCACCACTAACAACCAAATATGCAAAAATGATCTTGGCCAACAAAGAAAAACAATGAAGATACCTGGTTCTTTTTTTTTTTTTAATCTTTTTTTTTGGGGGGGGGGGGGGGTCAGGTTGTGGGGCCTGAACTCTGGGCTTGGGCGCTATCCCTCAGTTCTTCAGCTCGAGGCTAGCGCTCTACCATTTGAGCCACAGCGCTACTTCCGGCTTTTTTTTCTTTTTGCTTATGTGGTGCTGAGGAATCGAACCCAGGGCCTCAGGCATGCAAGGCAAATGCTCTACCACTGAGCCACCTTCCCAGCCCCAGATACCTGGTTCTTATTGGTGACTATGGAAGGGTGGGTCCCAAAGTTTCTGAAATTTTTTTTTTTTTTGTCAGTTGTGGGACTTGAACTCTGGACCTGGGTGCTGTCCCTCAGCTCTTCAGCTCAAGGTGGGCACGCTACCACTTGAGCTACAGTGCCACTTCCCGTTTTCTAGTGGTTTATTGGAGATAGGAGTCTCATGGTCTCTCTTGCCCCGGCTGGCTTTGAACCAGGATCCTCAGATCTCAGCTTCCTGAGTAGCTAGGATTACAGGCATGAGCCACCGGCACCCAGCTAGTTTCTGAAATTTTCATGTCATTTCTTGACTTGAGCCCTTGGTAACCTTTTACCTAGGAATATAAACACAAACTTTTTGTGAATTCAAATAGCTTTAATGACTTCCTCAAGTTATATGTAGGTCTCACCAAGCCTTTAACTTCAGGAGAATCATCAAGATCAACAACAACACAGCTTTTCTCTTGGTCTAGGGCAAAGGCCTCCCCACTTTGTCTAGGGGAAGAAATTAAGTCTTCCACAGACTCAGTTTGGAGATCTGCTTTAAATCAGATGGTCCATTGTGCTGTACAATCTTTGTTGTTTGCTAGAAACAGTTCTCAGCAAGGGAATGAACTTCCTCTGGAACACAACTAACACTGTTAAGGCCAAGGCTCTTCCTCTCCATAGTCAGCAATAAATTCACCATAGCTTATCATTGTTATTTTGGTAGAATCTGGTGAGGTGGTGTGCAAAAGCAGTCATTACCAATTTGTCCTAAACGCTAATCTTGGAGATTTCAGGTGATTTAAAAAAATACCACCACACTTTCTATTTGCCTTTTCTATTAGCAAATATTACTAATAAAATCATAGCTGTTTTTTGTTTCTGTTCTCAGTCTCTCATTCCCTTGCAAAAATGTTGATTATGTCTCTGATGAAAAACTGCTGAGCTCACCTCCATTTCTACACACATTGCTGACCTAGTCAAAGAAATAAACAACAGTTCCTTCTGCTAAGTTTTCTAGTGTTCTGCCTCCTGGAGAGGGATTGGCAAAGGACTGGAGAGAAAAGAGGTTTCCTTATTTCTGTCAAAAACACCTCTCTGCTATTCACCCTGCTCTGTACTCCTGCCTCAAGGCTGACTTTCTCAGAAATGCCAGACTAGAGGCAAATCACTGTGTATCCTTAGGCTACCATCATCCAAGCTCTCTCTCCAAATGCCACCAGGTTTAGGTAATCTCTAAGGACAGCCAGCGAGTAACAAAGCTAGCCTGACAAGAGTGGACAGGCCGGGAGGGGTTTATAGGCCTATGATGTAAAGAGTCTCTGAATTCCAATTGCCAAAGCTATCCCAATTTTTCTTCATCTTCTTCCTGATCCCTGGTGGGGGGGGGTGGTGGTGGAGGGGGCGGGCTAGGGTTCAGAGTAGATTTCTGATATTCCTAGCAGAAACATTCCCCCTGCCAACCAAGAAAAAGGGCTGCACTTGGCGAACAGTTACATCAACAATGGACCCGGGGTTAGGTGGTGAGGAGTGATAGTTGGGCTAGGTACCAGGAGTCTCATCTCTGCTTGACACTTTGTTCCACAGCATGAAGCAGCCAGATTCTGGATACAGAAAATGTCACTCCCAAGTCTGCAAGGCAGGTGGTGCTGGTGACACCCGCAAGCGGAAATGGTCCCTTGCTAAACTTTTAAGTACAAGAAGGCTTGTGCTGAAAAGCTTGTTCCGACCTGGCTGTCTCGTAGAATCTAGTCCGGGCCAAACGACTTGTGATGTGAGGGGTTTTGGTTTGTTTTCTTTCTTTCTTTCCTGGCCTTGCGGTGATTTCTTGATCGATGGCCTCCAATGGCCCAGCACAGTTCTGAAAGCTCAGGCCCGACGGTCTCCGCGGCGAGGGAGGCTCTGGCCCCCCTCCCCTTAGGCCCGGCCCCTTGACCCTTCGAACTTGGGGGCACCCCACAGCTGGGGAGGATGAACCCTGCTGAGTCTTGCGGGCATCTCTGGTCAGCCTCCAGACCCCCCTCCCCTCCGCCCCACGGTGTAGAAATCAGCAAATGTCAAAGTTGGAGAAGAAACTCGAGCAAGAGGGATTCAAGCAGCCGGCAGGTAGAGGGGGGTCAAGGTGGACAGAGGAAATCCCGCAGGTGAGAAGATCAAAAACTCTCCGGGTCGGGGCGTCCCGCGTCGAGGGGGGCAGCGGCACCGCCGGGCAGGCTCGCGGGTCCCCGCGGCGGGGGGCGCGCCGGGCCCGCGCGTTCCACGGGGGCCCCGGGGGCCCCGGGCCCGGCGGGCGCGGCGCGCGGCAGGTCGGCCCCGGGGGGGAAGCTCGTTCTCGGAGTCCAGGCGCGGAGCCACCAGCCTCTCCCCGGATTTGTGACGTGCCGTGGGCAGCAGCGGTGACGGGGCCACCACACAAAGCCAGGTCGTGGGGCGGAGGTCTTCCAGGCCAAGAGCCCCGATGGGATGGCGAGGGGGTCCGGAGCGAGACGCCCCCCGGCGCCCGGGCTCGGCGCAGGATTAAAGTGAGCTCCGACTCGCCGCCGGCGGCTGGGGGCGGGCGCCGGGGCGGCCGTGAGCGCCCGTCGCGCGCTTGGCTGCTGTGGCCGCGCTGGCCGCCCCCGCGCCCGGCTCGCCGGAGCCTCGCCACGCCCCCTGGGGGGTGGAGCCGGATCCAGGGGCGGGTCCGCGGCGGGCGACGCCCAGGCCTGGGGCGGGGGTGGTGGCAGCAGCTGCAGCAGCGGCGGCGGCAGCAGCGCCAGGAGGTGCTGCAACAGAGGCGGAGACTGCTTTTGGACGCGGTGGGGCCGAGAAGCCGGAGTCCCAGCCCGGAGGTCCCGGGCGGTGCACTGGAAGCTGCTGCGGCTGCTGCCCGACGGCCACTACCTGGGGCCCCTCTGCCACCTCGACCTCAGTTGCCGTCTGCACCTCCGTCTACCCCGCCCGCGTCTGCGCCCCAGCCAGGACGCCGCCCCCGACCGGGTCTCCACTTCTCAGCCGCCCCTCCCATGACAACGCCCGCGCGAAGATGGCTGCGAAGGGCGCGCACGGCTCCCACCTGAAGGTGGAAAGCGAGCTGGAGCGCTGCCGCGCCGAGGGCCACTGGGACCGCGTGCCCGAGCTGGTCCGGCAGCTGCAGTCGCTGGGCATGCCCGGGAGCGGCGGCAGCGGAGGCAACCGGCGAGGCAGCCCGAGCGCCAGGTTCACCTCTCTGGACACCGGTGAGTGAGAGAGGGCAGGGGTTGGGTCCCCGGCTGCTCGCGCGCGAAAAGCACCGCCTCCTCCAGGAAGCGCGCCTCGACTTTCGGGAGCCAGCCGGCGCCGGGCACTACCCTCCCCGCAGCGCCCGGTCCCAGAGCAAGCCAGGGCCACCAGGAAGGCCCTTCTGCCCGCAGCAGGGGGGGAGAAATCACATGCAAGTTGAGTTCCTGGAGGAAAGAAACAGAAACGCCTTTGCTTTCTGCCCTTTAGTACCCTGTGGGTAACCCCGTGTATCGTGAAATGGGGGTATTGGCCGGTATCAGATTAGTGAATGGACGAGGGAACTCTGCCTTTCCCAAATCCTCAGGTGGAGACTCTGTCGGTTCCTGCTTGCCCCTCTTCTTTTCCACCAAATAAAGTTGAAAACAGCTCCACCCACAGCAGACGAGTGCGGGTTTGTCTAGCATCGGGGTGGTGAAGTGGGGAAGAGGCCTGGCAAGCCTCAGTTTCTCATCTGTGGTGGGATGGGGCCCCATCCAGCCCTAGCAGACTGTGGCTTTAGCGGTAGGGCTGGTTTGGCTGGGCTGGGCCCTTGTACTGGGGCGGGAAAGCACCCTAGTGGGGTGGTGGGAACACCCCGCCCAGTCTCTGGCCTATGATCTTGTTCCTGGTACTTTCCTCTCAGCCTGGAAAGCCTCCCTGAGTGCCCTCCGTGTGCCCGGGACCTCAGTTGAAGGAATAAATACAGATATGAAGAGTTTGTAAAGACCACTCATGCTAGGGAAGGCTCTGTGGGGGAGATTATGATAATAATAGTACTAGCTAAAACTTGTGTACTCTCTTATGGTGTCTTAGATTTTTTTTTCTTTTTTGCTAGAGCTGGGGTTTGAACTTAGGGCCTGGGCGCTGTCCCTGAGCTTCTTTTGCTCAAGGCTAGCATTCTACCACTTGAGCCACAATGCCACTTCCAACCTTTTCTGTTTATGTGGTGCTGAGGAATGGAACCCCGGGATTTTTGCATGCTAGGCAAGCACTCTACCACTAAGCCACATTCCCAGCCTCTTCTGGTGTCCTAAAGGCTTTATCCAAGTCGTTTCACCTTGCAACCACCCCCAGAGCTGGACTCTTGTCCCCTCCTTCCCACTATGTAGATAAGCAAACTGAGGCCACAGAAGAAGTTAAATAACTGGATTATCCAGCCAAGAAGATACAGAAACAAGATTTGAACCCAGATTTGTTTTTTATTGCGAAAATACCGTACAGAGGGGTTACAATTACATGGGCAAGAACCCAGGTTTCTAAGTACATCTTCAAAATCATTTGTGCTCTTTCTTTTCAAAGACTCACCATGCAGAGCTGCAGAGCCGCCCCCACCCTCACCCCCTACTGACTGACTGGAGTGGATGGGAGAGGTGACTGACAGGCAGTCATGAATGAGTTAGACTATAGGAAAAAGGAAAAGTCTCAAGGAATCAGAATTTGACTGGCCCCTGCCTTGTGTTGGGAAAGACAGGGTATGTTTGCCCAAGGAGGGCTGGAAGTAAAGATCATGGAGGGATGGCGTAGAGGGTCTTTGGTGGGATGCACAATCTGAGATTTTTTTTTTTTTGAGTCCAGTCATGGGGCCTGAACTCTGGGCCTGGGCGCTGTCTCTCAGATCTTCAGCTCAAGGCTAGCGCTCAACCACTTGAGCCACAGTGCCTCTTCCGGCTTTTTTCCTTTTGCTTATATGGTGCTGAGGAATCAAACCCAGGGCCTCATGCATGCAAGGCAAGCGCTCTACCACTGAGCCACTTTCCCAGCCCGTACAATCTGAGATTTTAAAGTTAGTCTGAGTTGGCAGTAAGGGCAGTGGGCAGACTGAAAGGTGTATATTTGGCTTTTTCTCACAAGGCTTGGTGCTCTTCCACTTGAGTCATACCTCCACTCCTATTTGCTGGTTAATCAGAGATAAGAGTTTCTTAGATTTAGCTCCCTGGGCTGGCTTCAAATCGAGATACTTAGGTCTCAGCCTGCTGAGTAACAGCAGCTACAGAGTCCCCACCAGCGACTTGCAAAGATGCATATTTGAGAGAAGCTGATGAGCCTTCTTCCAGGATGAATAGATAAATTCAAAGCCCTTTCAGTCTTCTATGTGTGATGCGGCTTGCAAGAGTGGGAATGAAGGGCTGGGAATCTGGCTTAATGGTAAAATGCTTGTCTAACATGCATGAAGTCCTGGGTTTGATTCCTCAGTACCACATAAACAGAAAAAGCCAGAAGTAGTGTTGTGGCTCAAGAGCACTAGCCTTGAAGTGAAGAGCTCAGGGACAGTACCCAGGCCCAGAGTTCAAGCCCCAGGACTGGCAAAAAAAAAAAAAAAAAGGAGGGGGGGAATGAAATTGACCTGTGCAGGAAGGAGTGGATCCCTGGTGAGGTATACGATTATGAATGGTGTGATACCAAAGAGAAAGTTACTGGGACTATGGCAGGAACCATGGCCTTCTGCATCCCACCTCCCCCAGTGGCACCACTGCTTTTAAAGGTGTTCTTTAGAGCTTGAGAAGAGATTGTCCAGTTCCTTAAATTGATGTCCCAGGAGGGAAGGATTTTGGGAACCAAAGCATTAAGAAATTAGAATGGATTCAGTGATGTTAAAAACTACGGGACTGCGGCTGGGAAGGTGGCTCAGTGGTAGAGCACTTGCCTTGCATGCCTGAGGCCCTGGGTTCAATTCCTCAGCACCACATAAGCAAAAAGAAAAAATCTGGAAGTGGTGCTGTGGCTCAAGAGGTAGAGCGCTAGCCTTGAGCTGAAGAGCTGAGGGACAGCGCCCAGGCCCAGAGTTCAGGCCCCACGACCGGACCAAAAAACAAACAAACACACAAAAAAACTGCAGGACTGCCAAGCATAGTGGTGCACAATTGTTGTAATCCCAACATTTGGAAGTAGAGGCAAGAGGATGGCCAGTTCCAGGCTACTGGGCTACATAGTAAGATCCTGCTTTAGGAGATAAAAAAATATTAGAGATGTAGATGTAGAAATGTCCGCTGTAGGTAGCAGGAATGACTGGTTTGATCCAGAAATGAAACAAACAACAACAATAATGAAATCCTAAAACTTAAGGACTTCTCAGAGCTCATTTTTGTGTGCTCACCTTTTGTGAGCAATATGGCAATGTCGTATTTCTCAAATCTGGTTTGACCAGAATCTGTGGACCATCATTGGGAAACATTTGTATAGGTTACAAATCATATGGTATGAAGGGTCTCTATTTTTTAAATTCTTTTTGTTTTTTGTCAGTTGTGGGGATTGAACTCAGGGCCTAAGGACTGTCTTTGAGCTCTTTTGCAAAGGCTAGCGCTCTACCACTTTGAGCCACTGCCCCACTTCCAGTGTTCTGTGAGTTAATTGACGATTAAGAGTCTCAAGGACTTTACTGCCTGGGCTGGCTTTGAACCATGATCCTCAGATGTCAGTCTTCTGAGTAACTAGGATTACAGGTGTGAACCACCTGTGTCTGGCTTTTCAAATTCTTTGAACCAGCTCTGTAAATAGAGCAATTTTCTCCTATTGTAGACATGGGGGCCCAGACCTAGAGAGGTCACATAATGTGTCTGTGATAAAGTTGGTGCTCAAGTCTGTGTCTCTGGCAGTAAGCTTTCTAGTTTGGGATGGGCTAGAGACTGGGCTTGCTTTCCTGTGGGAAGTGACTGGGTAAGGAGGGACCCTAAAAGGCTTTGGAGTTAGTTTCTCCTGACAATTTTTGGGTATGATTCTGTGAATTATTGTTTCCTGCTGTTAAATCCACTATCCCTAAAAATGCCCGCACATGCATAGACATATATGTGCACATACACACATGGACACACTAACATGAGGATAGAAAAGGAAATGTAGCTGGGTGCTGGTGGCTCATGCTTATAATCCTAGCTACTCAGGAGGCTGAGATCTGAGGATTAAAGTTCAAAGCCAGAGGCAGGAAAGTCTGTGAGACTCTTTATCTCCAATTAACCACTAGAAAACAGGAAATGGAGCCGAGGCTGTAGTAATAGAGTGCTAGCCTTAAGACAACACTCAGGCCCTCTGTTCAAGCCCCAGGACGGACAAAAAGAAAATGACTTCCATAGTCCATATATAGGACATTTTTGGATTGACAGTTGTTTTGGAATAGGAAAACCTATTCTGTGTGGGGGTGTTAATGCTGACTCTTCCCCGCAATACAACCCAAAAAGTAGATTCTTAAAGTCTCATGTGGCCCATTAGAGTCTCACAGTAGTGCCTCAAAGCCTCAGCCATTAACTAATGTGAAAGAGGACCGAAGGTATTGATGAAGGGGGCTGAGTCCCATGGAACACCATTTTACTAAGGCCTTGAGGTTCTGTTGTGTCACAGGTTCTTCTAGAAACTGAAAGTAGCTCCCAGATTGTAGCCACTGGGGGTAGGGGGGAGCGGGGGGGGGGGGGGGGGGGGGGGGAGTAGGGGGGAGCAGAAGGGAGGGCGGGCGGAGGGGGGAAGAAGAAGAAGGGAATTGTGGGAGAAGATGCTGAACAGGTTCCTCAGCCTCTTGCCTGAGGAGCTTCTCCCACCGCTGAACAGGGTGAAGGTGGTTGCTACTGTTTGTGCGTTTTCTATTTTGTTGTTGTTGTGGGGGCTGAACTCTGGGTCTGGGCGCTGTCCCTCAGCTCTTCAGCTCAAGGCTAGCGCCCTACCACTTGAGCCACAGCACTACTTCCAGCTTTTTTCTGCTTATGTGGTGCTGAGAAATCGAACCCATACTCTACCACTGAACCAACTTCCCAGCCCCTGTTTGTGCATTTTCTTCACTCATATCCGGTGTAGGTTTGGTCAGCATGGAACAGTGGAACCCCAGAACATGCTGGCAGCTCTGGGGTTTGTTCTTGTAAAAACAAAGACCCATCCCAGTGTTTAAAAAACAAAAAAGAAAACTCAATTTAGAAATTATCCAAAACATATGAGAAAAAACAGAATGAAGGTCATATATCAATCATCATCCAGTTTCAGTGGTTATGAAGTCATG